GATGTTTGAATCACTGTAAATAAAACTGCACTTGGGTTCTCACTACGCTCGCCTTCAGTGGACTGATTCGTTACAATATTGAAGCATTAAGAATAATAAATGTTTTACAAGCGTTTTTCATTGTTAGCTCACTGAAAAAAAATTCACTCAGGAAAACCTAGTAAATTTCACAAATAATCTGCAAGTAACACATTAAATAAAATATGAACTTTCGAAATAGGAAGACTGAAATAGTATTTTCTTGCAAAACACACTCTTAATTAATTTTTTTTACAGTGTGTTAATGTTAAGAAATAGACCTTTATTGTAAAGTTTTGCCTATTGAACCTTTCACCATTTACAATTTGATAAATATAATAATTCACATGCTATAATTGTCAGCTGTATGCAAGAGACATGACTGCAGCTAAACAGTTTAAAATGTTTATAACTTTATTTTTAACAAACCATGTAGCATTTATAGTGAAGGAAGAAGTATAAAACCACTATTTTAAAAGCGTTTCGTCGGGATGTTTGTGGGGTTTTTTAAATGATAAAACAATAGATATAGCCTATTAATGGAAATACCAAAACCTGTTTTTATAGAAATAAATGTGAGATTAGAGGAGTTGGCATCTCGGCCAATCACCGTGCACTGCAGCTGTAAGAAATAAATGATCTACAAACATTGCAAACATAACATTGTAAATAACAAAAAAACAAAAAAAAACCTTTTGCAAATTCAAGACTGAAAGTGAAAGTGATGGATGGACATGACCAAACCTCCCATTAGACAGCAGTATCGCAATTTCTCATTTAGCCTACTTAAAGTTTGTTTTCTGCTAACATTAACGATTTTGTTTTAAATTCTGTTTACAGAGATCATAGAAAAGTGTAAAAAAAAAAAAAAGTGTTATTTTCTGTGTCTAAAATCAACATAGGCCTAAGTCTACTTAATATTCAAACCCAGCATCTGGTTGCAGAGATAAACGTAAGCAAATGTAAAAGCAAGCCTACCTTGTCTTACTGCAGAGTAAATAGCGGGTGACCGTCCGAATCACTGCACTCTTTCAGAGCATATGTCAGTGACACATTAACCAGCCTCCTCTGTCATGAACGTGAATGTACTATCAATAGACGGCCACTGGCTTGCAGTCATTGGCGGATTTAGGCAAGGGCGACATGGGCAACCACCCAGGGCGGCATCTTGTCATGGGCGGCACCGGGGCGCCCGCACAGGAACATTACAAAACTAACAAGTTTAAAACAAAATGTAGCCAACAGGAGCCCAATTTAGGAAAAAAGAAGAGGGGAAATGAGCAAAATATAAATGTTATCTGTCGTTAAAATAGGCTAATATCACTTATGTTATGTTATTACACCAAGGGCAACAACATTACTTTTTAGACAGTATAATGTGATTTTGTACAAACGTAACTTCACTCACTTTATTAATGTTTTTACTGTACAGTTGTGCAGTTTTGGCAGGGGTGGGGGGTAGTATTTTTTATTTATTTATTTGAATTAATTTGTAATAATTTTTTAATATATACATTTATATAAAAATAGCAAAATGTATGTAAAATTAATTTCATTAAGGGTTGCAGAAAGGGTGGTTCGCCCAGGCGCCATAGAACCGCCACTGCTTACAGTGTACATCTGTTTACACCCGAGGGTATAACATGAAATTAGGCCTATAGCTTTGACTCCCAAAGAAATCCAGTAGTCCTTTCGTTTAATAATTGCATAATATCTTGCATAATACAAATTATAAGATATAAGATAAATTAATGTAGCCTATATGAGTTACTGGTCTGTTAAGCATTTTATGGAGACCAAGGTCAGTTGTCACATGGGACAGTTGTCACAAGGCTATATGTCAATAGCCAAAGGTTTTGAGTCAAAAGTCCAATCGTATAAATGCTTGTTTTCAATAGCACTGACAATGGTGTCCTCAAACCTGCTAAATTATGACCTTTTTGTGAAGTCTCCCCTCTAAACATAAATTTCAGTATCATTATTGTAAATATGATGGATCATGTGTTTTTAGTAAACAAGTGAACATCATAAAAACAAACCACCGACTATGATGTAATTTTTTAAGTTTAAGATTGACCTCTCAAGCTAGTGTTGACATCTCCCATAATGTGCATAATTGAAAAACACTTATGTTTTAAGTGGATTATAAAAGATAATCTCTGTAGCTAATAATGCATATAATCATGTTAGACATGCAACCTGAACTATCACTGAATATTAGTCAACTTGTCATTTTTCCATGTAGTTCTAGAATTTGTTATATTTACTCTGGTTTTCAATTACTATGTTGTTCCCTAACGTTTTAACCTTGGCTGTCTCAGTAGGCGCTGTTATAGAATCCGTCGTTTTCTTTTATCTCTTGGTTGGTATTTTAGAAAGCAAGTGTTTACTTAATTTGTAGAAATTGGACCTCTGTCCTTTTAACAACCAAATTCTCGACTTTTATACATTCTTTTTTTGTTCACACACAAATCCTAAAATGTATAGAGTAATAACCCCAACCCCCTTCTTTTTCTCCACCGAAGATGATGTATTATTCGATTAATCTCCACAGCCTGAGAGATGATCTTTAATAACAGACAAGTCAAATAAAATTTGTGTGTACATTTTCTCATTTTAAAGCAAACATGTCCAAAAGCTTGATCCTCAAATCACTTCATCCAACAAAGTATACAAGAAAAAAGTCAACAACAGAAGAAAGGGCTCCTAAAAGTGGTAAACTAAAAGAACATGGCTGCGACACCCTTCTCTTACACCAGTAATTAATTACATAATTGTGTTTGAGAATGTAAAAGTGAGGATCGGAAGAGAGGGAGAAGGACAGGGACAGATGAGGGAAGTACAGTAATATTTTATGCAGATGGCTTATAAAGTAGCACCCACATCTTTGTGCAAATTGACCAACCGGAGGAGTGACAAGTGTGAGGATTCTTCTCCTCTGTTGGCACTTAAACCACAGCAACGCCTACTGTTCCACCTTACCAAACACGACAAACCAATCAAACTAGTTACCAGATAATTTTTTTGACACAATATAATCTCAACATTTGGTTGATTTTATAACAATCTTGGGGATTTTAAAATGAGAAATTGAGAAAAATAACTATATTCACAGTAGATATGCATGTAGTTAGATTACTTTTAGTAATTTGGTTGTACTAGAAAAAAATTTGACACTTTTACTAGGAACAGAAAATGTTCACAGGTCATTAGGGTCAGGGACACACTGCTTTTTAAGGCCCATAAACACTAGCTTTGTTTTTGGCGATGTGTCACGTTATTACTTTAAATTGTAGATTTGCCTATAACTGGGGATCAGACAAATTCACCAGTTTAGCAGTCTGCATTAAAACATTTTTAATAACAATTTAATTTCTTTGTTAAAAGCCCTTAGGTAGCATATGCTGCTCATATTGTTCTAAACTGAAGACTTGATAGGAATTAAATCCCAAATGAGTAATTGCACAATACATAACCAAATAGATCATGGCAAAGAAACGTTGTTACATCTTGAATTCACAAATTGATCAGCATGAAATGATCGACTGATGCGGAGTTATCATTTACAAAAGGTAACAAATAAATTCCTACAACCCATAGTATTTCAAATCCTGTTTAAACGAAACAGTTATTCTACATACAATCGTACTGAGCATTTATTCATAATAGACAAAAAAGGTCTGTCCGTAATTATGAAATTCTTAAATAACTGACCATGAACTAGTCCAAAGATTATGTTTATAACTCACAAATCACAAGTTATACCATGGGGAAAAAGAGTAACTGCGTTCATGTTAGGGTATTGGTTGATAATTGGCAAATAAAATAACAAATCGAAAGTAAGACCAAATATGACACAATCTCACAGAGCATAAGACAAGTATATCTCACCTTATTCTCATACATTCTTTTTTTTTTTTAATATATAACTCCATATATATCATATACATATAAAATTGAATGTAGTGACTGAAAATATCTATCTTTAACAAATTTTAGATGGCGGCAGTATTACCTCAAGGCCACACTTGTATTGGGAGAAGTTTTATTCTCCTGGTTTAGGGCAGATTGTCAGATCCTTTCTTACTTGGACATGTTGCATTCACATGCCAAGTCAAGTTGCTGCAACGCATCTTATAATCACCATTAACATGGCTATCTACTGTTGAGTTGCAAAATGGTCGGTGAACATACTGTAAATTCCGGGCACTTGGAAGCATTGGCATTGCTTATAGAAGAGGTTTCCGCACTTCTCTTTTCCTTTGCATTCAAGTTGACGCTGCTTTCTAAAATTCAGAAGTCTCTCTCCTGGAAGCAGGAAATGCACACAAATCCAGACAGTGAAGATATTCTTAAACTTCCTCTGATAATGTGAAAGCAGTCTGTATGTTTGTCAAACCTTCATCATCATCATTTGATTGTAGAACATGGCTATATCATTTGTTATTGTGCAGAAGACCCAGTTAAAAACATGGCCAGTTAAATTTTCTTAGACCTGTAGCTGTAAATAGTAGATATTGCGCAGTAGGTCCACACTCCTGTCCATCATGTTATTTTTACTCTTAGTAGGTGGCAAACTAGTGAAGAAACATGGTGGATTTTGTGGGAGTCAAATATATATTATATAAGGGCTGTGCAATGCTAAATAAAGTGGGTTGGAATCAATGGTGTTAGACTTCGGAATAACTTGAAATATTAATAGTAAAATTTTATTTATTTAGTGATGGAACTATATCTTGCATTTTGGCTCTCCTCAACTCTCAACCAACTGCTTCAGTGCACGTTCAATGTTCATTCGGTGCCCCACCCGCGTCACCCCTAACTCTGCCAGATCGTCCTTGGTCAGTGCAGGCAGGTGGGCGCCTTCAATCTCATGCTCCAAAAAGCAGGCACGATGTTCTCCTAGTCCCACACTCTCTAGCCACTCTCCAACGTCAAACTTACTCCACAGTGCTAGGGGGCGCTGTCTGAATGGCCGTAAGGCCAGGAGAGGGGCTCCCAGTACCGGTGAAGGGCAGGGGGAGGCGCATGGAGAAGGGGATGGAGAACGGCTGCGGGCTCGAGCACTGGCGCTCCTCATGACGAAACGTACCTCCTTGGGCTCCTGGGGCAAACTTAGACTAGAAGACTTGAGGATTGTGTGATGGTGGTGATGAGGGCCAAATGTACGGACAGGCCCCAACGGTTCACTCCGTTCTGGTGTAGCTCCAGGGCTTGGAGTCCTACGGGTCACTGGGTATCGGCTGCCAGGCCGGATTGTGAAGGTGGTGCCGTAACTCCGCTGAGAGATGGTGTGAAGCTCCCCTAAACTACTAAAGAGTCTAAGAGAGAGAGAGAGACAGTGAAAATCTAAAAGACAAGTCAAAAAGAGGAAGGTGTAGCTGAAGCAAAAAAGTAAACAAAGGTAGAGTTTTAACTGCAGTACTTTTGGGAAACTACTGGGATGCTAATGTGAGAGAAGAGGAATGTGGATCCAATACTGTAAACATTGCGGTTTGTGAAAATTTAAATAGTGCAGAGCATGCAGTGAGAACTTAATGCAATAAAATAACAGTTAGAGCAGTTAATATAAAACTGGAGTCCTCAGAAAGGGTATAAAGAATTGGTGCATTAGCATTTCACAGTATTTCCACCACAGCATGCTTTCGGTTTTCATTTTGTAAACATCCGAAACTTGCTGCAATAAACTTACCAAAATCAATGCAGCAATATAAACTAAATTTAAATTCAACATTTTTCATTTACTTTTTATTAAAAAGCAATTTGATTGGCCCTCAGCGGTACACTGAAAATTCCAGTTTCGTTGCGCAAGGACAGATAGAAGCTGAAATGCCTCAGTTACTGCATAATGAACTACCATAAGCTTTTAAGACAAGCCCACAGTAGCATTTGCAGCTTGATTAACGGCTGCAGTAAAGGGTTTAGTGAAAGTTAGTTAGACAAGGAGTTGTTTTTACCCACAGAGCTAAAAACCTACGATTTACTCTCTCCTCCATTCTCCTCACATCTGCAAGGACATACAGACACACACACACATGTGTGTTATGGAAAGGCAATTTAACCAGGTGTGTGGCTTAGGGTGTCAAAAGTCAAGTGGGTTTATTGCTAAATGATATTGAAAGTTGTGTTGTGTTTCATGCAGGTGTGCAAAATGTGCTGCTGTTGTCAAGTTGGTACAATTTTTAACAGGTCTTTCCTACCTGGCACCTCCCACAGGTGATCTCCTGCCGGGGTCAAGAGGCGCTCCCATTGGTGGCTCCTCCCCCAGTGAATGAGTGTCTTTGCTTAGCAACTCTGCCCCCATTGCAGCAGGCCGACTTTCATCAGACCCACCCATTTGGGCCCGGGGGTCCTCCCCCCAGAGTTTGGAACGTCTTTGGAATAGGTAGCGTGGACGGCTGGGGCCTGTGCTGGGTGGGTGTGGAAGCAGCTCACTGTCTGATGACTGTTTAAGCAGTGGGTCCCTGAGATGGGCGGGGCGACCACGCCCCACCCCAGAACGTTGTTTGCTAGCATGAGTGGAGTCTGTGCTCTCTGAAGACAAAGTGGACATGCTGGAGACTGTAGAAACAGTACTGGTGGTCTCCATATGTGGGTCTTCAACCCCAGAGTCTGCCGTAGAATCGCTTGCTTTTCCAGAGGAGGTCTTTGCAATGGATGGCCGTGATCCACTAGGTGAAATGCTTAGAGTGGCTTTGGGTGTTTCTTTAATTAGAAGGCCATTAGCGAAGGGTTGAGGGGGTGGCACGAGGCCTATCTTCCGAAGCTCCTCTCTGGTTTCCTCATCACTGGACGAGAGCAACGCAGGGGGAAGTGTCACTGTGTAAGGCTCCGCTTCCTCCTCGGAGCTCATAGTCAGACTTCGAGCAGTCAGATTTGAGAGGGTAGGGGCAGGAGAAGGTAGAGTGGGTGGGACCGCTGGTGGGGTATGTTCTGTATCCATCAGCACAGGTTGGACACCTTGCACGCTGGGTGGGACAAGTGTCTCTTCCAGGCTTCGTCCAGACCCAGGGCTACCGCTAGTCACTTGGCTTGCTGTTTCTGTGATGCTGACCGGTTCGTCTCTCCAGGAATTAGATGGAGGTGCCTCGAGAGGAGCAGGTGGTGTTGCTCCTCCTTCAGTCTCTGGCCTTTCCACTGCTCGACCTTGAGTGGGCGAAGGTGTGGGCGAAGGTGTAGGAGTGGGTGTATTCCGGCCACTAAGGGCACGTTCTCGTGCAGCCAGTGCAAGAGCTAGAGGTGAGGAAGGATCCAGTGGTCGACCTGTTAGAGGGTGTATAAAAGTGGTGCCCCCTGGTGGTGGGCCAGGGGAAAGCATTGGTGCAGGTGGAGGCAACTCAGCCAACTCATCCACGGAGTGAGACTGAGAAAGTAAAGGGGTTGTCTGTGGCTCTGTCGCACCCCCTTCTACAGATAGAAAAACACTGGTCCTGCGTCGGGCCCCTGGAGGTGTGATTCTAGCTCGCTCCGAGAGAACCTGCTGTTGGAACTGCTCTGCTCGGCTGCTATGGGGAATCCGTGACCCTCCCAAAGGAGAGGGGTCTCTAGTAGTCTGAGCAGCGGCTCCCTCCTCAACTGGTCCTTGTTTGACTAATGGGCTCTTTCTACGCTGGGGCTTGGAAGGAGTATAGACCGCACTTAGACGACCTATGTTAGCATATGGATTCTCCACAAGTGGTCCACGCCTACGACCACGTTCAGTAGGAACCACTCCAGAGGTAGGCGTTTGTGGTCTTGCAATAGGGGCAGGCTCCACTGGCAAATGAGTGGTATCCTGAAGAATGATCATGGAGCGTGTTTTTCGCTGGCGGTCTGTCGTGACTGGGCCATGGAGTTTGGGCTCTGCCCCTGGGCGGAAGCTTGAACGGCTCTGGTTGGCAACGCGAGAAGGGGGCGGAGGTGGAAGAAAGGATGGAGGTGGCCCTGAATCTAGGAAGTAGGGAGTTGGAGGTGGTGGAGGAGCTGTCTGTGGAGGGGGTGGAATACTATCTTGTCTAAAGCTGTCAGTCATTGAGGAGCTTCTTGGAAAGCGATGCTCTCCAATCAGGGCTGAGATTCTTTCATCTTCAGGAGCACCTATAAAACAGTTCTCGGTGAGACTGTGGGCGTATTGTTTTGAACAAAGTTCAGAATTCTGATTGTTTTAATAGCCCTTTTTATATAATTGGTTTATGTTTCTGAAAAAGGAGAATTTGTGTGAATGTTTGTATTTGTGTATGTGCCAAATGACACATTACCAAATGACTTGGTTCTTGACATTCCCCGAGGCAGCTGCATGTGACTTTTGTCCACAGCCAAGGACACTCCTGAACTTACTGGCAAACCCTGCCTCTCTAACAGAGACTACACACAAACAAAAACAATACATGATCAAATACTGGCCAGAATGTATGTCAGAAAATACATATTGCCATGTATAACAAGGGCTCTTGTATTTTGTTTCAATAAAAACATAATTATAACTTTTATATTATTATAATATATTAAAAACACCTTTAAAAGTACACCATTTTTAAAAATGTTGCATGTTTATGTGTATTACACTCACATTGATCTCAGCCTGTGTGATGCGGCGACTTGTTGGTCTCTGTTTCACAGTGGCTGCTCTGGAGTCCGTTTCCGCAGGACGTGGCCTCATCACTACAGCCGGTTCTTTGGGTGAACTCAACATCTCATCCAACTTCTCTGTGAGGGATACACACAGATCCACACACATACCGAAACACTTAATACACATTCTTGACCAATATTCCAGTCCTTCCTCTGATCAAATCACAGAAGACCAATCACAGTCACCAAGTGCACCATAAAATACAAGTACACAGATCCCATGTGTATAATATACATAGTCTGAAGGAACACTAAAACAAATATACAGCCACAAATACAGTACAAAACACATACATAATAGCTGTCTACAATCCACAAAAAGAAAAACAAACACATATACATACTTTGACTTTACAATTTTTTCGCAGTCACATTTAACAACACACAAGCTAAATAAACAGGTTAGATAAATCCATCCATGACATTACATGCTAATCAGCATATAGAACCAGTAAAGGACATCATCAACGTGAGACTGGTTTTATATCTTACCTCCCCTCCTTCTCCTTGACGCTTGTGGACAAGAAGGACAAATCTATAGTTCCTGATTTAGCTCATAGATTGAGTATTTGATGGTCACTTTTCATTAGCAATGAATGAGCAAAGCTATCACTGCACAATCATCCACACTCCTTGCACTGCTGTATCATTCTCACGGAAAGAAAAGACATTAATTTGCATGCATTTCTCCATTAGTGTTACTGGGGAAAAAAAACGTTCCAACATGTACCGTGCCCTCGAAGATAATGATAACATCTGTTTTAACTCATCTGAGACCTAGCATAACACAAGATGTTGTTTGCATCTGTGTTTATTTATAAGAGCATCTGTCTTACCCAGCTCCTCCAGTTCTGAAGTCATGCTTTTTGAGCGCAGGGTCAGGCTGGTGCTTGCGTCTCTCTTGGGTGGTGGTGGGGCTAATTAATTATCAGGAAGAACAAGAAATGTAATATTTAAATTTAGCAGGATTCTCTAAATCTTGACATCCAGTCAAATAAAAAAAAAAGCATAGTCTGCATGCATTAATGAAGTTGAGGACAAGAACCTTTCTTGCGGATGACATCTCCAGTGTCAGGCTTGCGCGTGACCGACACCACCTTCATTACTAGCCGACTTCCACCTTGTCGAATCAGTGATACCACCTGCCTATGTCCCACCTTTACTACGCTCACCCCATTTACCTGACAAATGTGCGGAGAATTAGAGAAAGATGTAACACATAGCCGGTAGAAACCCAGCAGAAGCATGATGACATTCTTCAGTCTAAAAAAGTCAGCATGAAATTGAAATTCACCCAATCTATTTTCTAAATGCATGCTATTGATCTTATTATGAATGATTCATCCCTGCATGTTTAATTTTTTTTAAGAATTGAGCTTGTCATTTTTAATCAAATGGCAGACAACTCTGGTGACGTATGAGATTTCCAAGATTTGTCAAATAATTAAATGTGTTTGCTTTTTGTTAATTACAATTATTAATTTAGGCCAGTTTTTGAAAATATGGTTTGAAAATCACTGCTTTAGCAAAGAAAAAGTTGTGTCTGTGTGTGTATAAATCAAAAGTATTTTTTAACCTCAATGAGGAAATCTCCCGTCCTTAACCCTGCCCTCCACGCCACCCCTTCCAGGTCCACAGACTCCAGGTATTGCAGGGCAGGAAAAGCAGGAGTTGGTGTGAACTCTTCTATGGGTGTCTCAGCTGACAAGAGAGAGGATTTAATTACTGCATTTGCATGTGAATTTTATTCATGCTAACATGCATACGTGTGTGTGTGTGTGTGTGTGTGTGTGTGTGTGTGTGTGTGTGTGTGTGTGTTTCAGACCTTTAGCTCCCCGAAGCACAAAGCCAAATCCTTCGCTGTCTCTCTTCTGCAACGTTGCACTTTTTTCTTCTATAACATAATCACTGTGAATTTATAGAAATCAATAGTCAGATGTGCTGCACTGCCAGAACTCACTGTCTTCATAGATTCCCCCTCCCATACCCATATACCCATAATCCCCAACACTGGCACCATATTTTGTTTATTCACGATGAAGGAGAGAGAAAGGCAATGGTTGGAAAGGCATAATACACTACTCATATTATTTCTGCAGTATGTATACTGTGCACATGTATCTCTCTCTCTCTCTCTGTATATATACATATATACAGTAGGTCTATGTGTATATGTATGTGTGTGTGTGTGTGTGTGTGTGTGTGTGTATACCTGTAAGAGGTATAGTTGTCATAGGAGCCAACAGTGTAGTGCCTAAAAAGTCTCTTGGTGCGATCCTCTCTTGTCTCTGAGAAAAAGATGAGTGGCCACATCAATAACAATAAGATCTGAACGTTAAACTGCAGAATACTTTCAAATAATGCTTCTGAATGCAGTTGTGTGTGTGTATATGCACACTGACCTAGTCGGGGGTCATATTGTCTCATCTGGACTTCCTCTACACAGTGAGCAGGAAACCAGCCAGTTCGTCCTTTAACTGAGCCTTCCCAGAATCCACCTTCACCTATGCTTAGCACTGGTGGAGACACGTATAAACCGTTTTATGCTGTATTTGGTATATTTACCTGGATGGATGTTTATTCAACTGCAGGCATTTCTTGTCCCAGATATTAAAACTAACTTTTTTATTTTTTTATTCATTTAGTTACTTGAAGATTACATTAAATCTGTCTTCGTAGGCACTTTTTACCAAGTCTTCATTTAGTTTTGTTACTTTTCGAATGCCTTCAAGTATAAATATCAAAATAATGTTCTTTTTAGCAGCATCATATGACCCCTTTAAGATTTTGCATAATTTCCAATCAATCCATAATTTTGTCAAAATATTTTTTGTGAGTATATAGGAAAAAAACAAACAGCTAGCTTCTGCAAGACAGTTGGCCATTTTATTTCTAATTTGTTCATGATGGTTCAATTCTCCTGTAATGCATGTATATTCACTTCTGAACACAGAGTAGACACATTCAATAGACTAGAGAATTTTTAAAAGTCCACAGGGCCAAAAGAGCCCATAGCTGAAGAACTATTCAGAATGCCACAAACTGTAGCAACCTCCAGCATAAAAATAATGTGATTATTTTATTTATTTATTTATTTTTGCTGCATCTTGAACAGAGAAGCTGGCTGACTGACCTTTGACCCTCTCTCCTCGGTTGAGTGTGATCTCACCCTCGCCCTGTGGATTGTGGGAGCTGACAGCGATGAAGGTTCGGCCAGGCACCGCACTGTACAGCCGTCGCTTGGGCCCTCGAGACACAGCAGGAGGACTCGGCTCTCTCTGTACAGGACTGCCAGGGCTGCAAACACGTGTGCAGAAATGATTAACAACCAGTTGATATCGTCTTTTATGTCAGGTAATCAATACTTTATTATTTATTATAATTAACTATTTTAATATTTAAAATTTATTTTTACAACTATCAATTATAATATTCATATTTCACATAATTCTGAGCATGAGTTTTTACTCACATTATAAATGTTGCAACTGAACTTCAATCACCATGCATTTTTGTTGAATGAAGAAAAAGCTACTTTTCTGATTTATTCATAAAACTG